AATAAAAAAAAAAAGGCAAATCCCCCCAAAAAAAAAAAATATTTTTATTATATGGCCTTTAGAATATTATAAGAGTTTTTATGCAATTGCCCTGAAAAAAAAAAAAATTACTATGATCTTTTAGGTATTGCCCCTCAAGAAAATTATATCACATTGTAGAGGTGTTATATAAGACTTTTAAGACATTGCCCCATAAACATTTTAAAAAACTATGGTGTTTAGGCAATTGTCAAAATACAAAGAGAAATAGTAAAAAGAATCCAAAAATATCCTTACAATCAAAATTTGTTTTCGGGGGCAGCGCTCCTTCCAAAAATATTCCACTTACAATCAAATTTGTTTCGGGGCAGCGCAGTGAGCGCTGCCTTGACCTGCGACCTGACGAGTAGGTAAAATCCCGCCCGCCAGGGGATGCTACCCCTTTGGACCCCCGACATATCTGAGAAAGCGTACAAGATCAATGATATGAATAAAAGAGGTCGAGCCAAATTCAAGGCATACTCAACATACATTTTTGTAGAAATTGAATGATTAATAATTACATCATTTTGATTTTTTTTTTTGCAAACAAATCATCCATACTTCAACCTAATTTGTTTTAAGAATATTTCTCATTATATAAAGATGTTGATCGATATTTTTGTAAATATATTATGTAATTCAGTACTTTAATCAAAGTCACTAAAAATTAAATATATAGTGAAAATAAAATCTATTGTTTACTTAATATTGTTGCCCCCCACCACGCCGCCCGAAAATTAATGCCTGTTTCGCACCCTGCTCTGAACAATAATAGATTGAAATGAGAATTTGACTCTTGATAAAATGATGGAGAAAAAAGGATTCATGTGGCCGACCCCACGTAGTCGGATAAACGCTTGATTTTGTTGTATAATTTATGTTTCTTTATTTGTTTGTAACCTTGAGGTCCTAAATAATTGGGATAAAGCCTATGATGATCTTGATATTATTGATGAGCTTTGAACAGCATATGATCATTAACTATCAGAAATGATGAAGCTCAAAACTCTATGGTATGATGAAAATAAGTAGGATGAATTGCTGAGTAAAATCAGAGGCTCCATACATTTATGCATCGCAAGAGCTAACTTTTGAACTGCATACTGAGATTAAAATTTCAATATTATATTTCGGACTCTTCTCCGCAGGAAGGTTTATCCCTGGGTGTTATACTCTTGCGGTCTCCGAGGAACTTCCAGAAGAATATCAGGTATGTGTAGAGCAATGAATGATTTGATGAAGGTTGTTCTATTCATAATTTGGAGCTATTATTATGTGCGGACACCGGACGGAAGAACCATCCGGTTAACCGCTGGGTACTCATCGGTACCGAGCAATGGGGTGGCGTGGCGTATTTTTATTGGTCTCCAGACGCCCTCTGGACTCCGCACAGAATAATAAATCCATAATTTGACATATTGATCCAATGCAGAATATCTGTGCGGATAACAACGTGCAATATGTTCCCCCAAAACGTACCTGAACTGTAAGCTTTTCTACCTTGGTTACATTTGAAACTGTTGAAATGAGCCTGGAACGAGTTCATTTGCCTACTTATCCCATCATTCAGGATCCAAGCAGAATTTTGTTCATATAACAAGAATTATGACTGTAATTCCTCTTGAAAAATTTATATTGGATGTAATCTTTAGTTAGACAGAATTGGTCATTTTGTTTAGTTCCAATTAGTCATGATACATGGTAGAATTATTAACTGGGAATGTTGTCACCCAAATTATTTTGCATTTGCTATTCTTCCTACTAACATCAGGAATCTCAAAAGTTTTACATTTATTTTACTCTATGTTGCTATTTTATCCAAAGAACCAACCCTTTAATTACTTTGACATCGCGTATCTTTCAGGATTATTTCTCCCAAAAAGTGATCTTATGATGTTTTTACAGAGGGCAGCAGCATGCATAATACTGATTAAGATTTCATTTGGGACAATTTTATCATTATTTTTCAAAGCAATTTTTTAGTACAAAAATATATAGATAAAAAAAAAGCAGTAATAAAACAAAGCATAAGTTTACACTATTTCTTTGAATATTGTAAAGATAATAATAGATAAATTTTTATATTATTGCACTCAAAAATTGAGTGTAATTAAGTACCATATTAATGACTCCATATGTATACTTAATGGTCTATTTGAAATCACTTTTATTTATATTATTTTTTAAAAAATTAAAGATATGTTTGTTTGTATGTTTTTATTT